TAAATTTCAAACACTTTAAAAAAAAAAAAAAAAAAAAGAAAAAAAAAGCAAGAAAACCCGCACTGTTCTGCAGGACAATTGAGAATTTACTTCCAACACATAATAACTTTATACAGACATTTAATAACCAAACGTTAAGCAGAGTTGAAAAACAAAATTTTACAATTATTTCAAAAATACTTAGGTCTGTAAAGTTGCACATTTGTCACCAGCAGCGGGAAGCTTACCTGCTTGGCTGTTTTCAGACTGAGCTATAAGTGCTGCCATTGCTGAATTTGGATTCAGCCTATTGCCGTACATGTGGGATGGAGGCAGACTGAAAGAAGATCCAGGTAGGGTGCTTGCCTGGAAGAAACCAATTAAAACTTGAATTCTGTTTTTTAAAAAGGGGGAGAAATGATAAATATATTTTAAAGAAGCTTTCCTAATGCACAATTATTAATTTTTTGAAGTTTTAAAAAAAAAAAAAAACCTGAATGCATTAAAAGAAAAATATTATTTTCCATTTGTCAGAGCAGAAATAGAACTGCAGTACTTTGAAAATATAACACATTTTAAAGTGCGTTTTACTTGTTGTTGGCAAGATCTGTTAATAAAAAAAAACTTCTAATAAAAAATTACTGCAGCAAATATTAACAATACCCAAATTGCATTTTAAAACCACCACCGTGTAGCAGGATGGGTAGACTTCCTTGCAATCCTGAAGTATGTACTCAGTGCTAGGACTTAGTAGCATGGTGACCATGTGGTTATCCTACTAATTATGTAATCTTATTAAACCATTTACAAAATAAGGGCAGGTAGACAACAGATGTTTCACAAATGCTTGGGTTCCTTACATCACAAGCCGGCTGTGGAGGTCAAAAGGTCCAACTTTCAGCTCTATAGTTTAACTACAGAGAGCCATATTTCCTTTGCTCGGCTCCGTCATTAGTAAAACCTGCACACTATTTTGTTACTTCCTATTTTGATAGACTTGGAAGCCTGGTGTTTTTTTTGTTTTGTTTTGTTTTTATTTTAAAGAACGCAAACAGCCATTACAAGTATGTTTTCTATACAATAGGGGGCTCGCCGAATCACAGCTTTGCCCTGACCCCATATAAGGAACTGTATTTTTGGCAGTTGGCCAGCTCTACTTATTGAAGAGCTCCCAAAGTTTGTGTTCATTCATGTTGCTAACCACAATTCTGAAGGTCTCTGCTGGGACTTGTGCCAAACAAGCGAAAATGAACCCTTAAACAGATGAAGCTAAGGAGGCTGGCCAAAACCTTGCATAATCCAACGCAATAAAAATACCTTCTTCCTTGGCTGCTTATGCTTTTTCCCTTTCGAAGAAAAAGATTTGTGTCAAGTGCGAGTTGCAGAGACAGGCAATCAAAGAAAAAAAGGCACAGCTGCTTATTAAAAAGGCATTTTCCTACCTGATAAAAAAATTACTTTGGAACAAGGGAGGGGGGGGGAATCAAAGGGGAGGAGGGAACAAACAAAGGGGTGAGGGAATCAAAGATACACAACCTGTTTGATCACTGGTTTTAAAAATGAATCTTTTAAGAAAATGTAAACATTTACAAAGGAAACTTTTTTTGAAAAACAAAAAAAAAGAAGGTGAGCAGTAAGGAACTCAATTTGTGGGACATTTTGACATGTATAACAGCACACAAGAGACGGGGAAAACATACTGGTTATTACAGCAAAATATTACAGAGTATAAACTATGTCTCTGGAAAGAATCACACACTACCATTAAGTTCTGGCTTTCAGCCAACATATTAAACTTGATGAATGGACTTTTATGAATTCACACAACTGTTTTCAATGACGCTTTATTTACTATATACTGGTGAGAAATTGTGCCTGATACTTACATTCTTCTACTGTCACAAAGTTAGAAGAAGCCACAAGTAATTACTTACAATGATGAGGTTTCTTTCACTTTTCAGTTGAGAGGTATGTGCAAGATTGCTAGACACAGAACCACAGTTTCGCTTAAAATCTGGCTGGGTTTTTTTATTTTTGTTTGGTTTTTTTTAAGAATTGCATGTCTTCAGTAGAACTAATCTCAATTAGTTGTAATTCTTAAAAATAATGCAGGCATTTCCACCTACCCAGCTATAACAGCTTCCAGAAATACAGTATGTACTAGTACTGTGACACTTACTGATGACGGCAGCAATACTGCACAGCTTCTGCTATTTTCCTTAATAAACATCTATAGCATGATTCCAACTCAACTACTATCATTTGCTAGCAACCTTCATCTGTTTTCCTCTCCAAAAAAACCCAAACTTCAGAAACAATGTATTTTTTGTAAAAACCTTTAGATTAATAAACCTTACAGAATGGAATATCACAAGATTCAACCATTACTTGCTTCTATATCTAAGAGACAAGACTAGCAAAATAAATACATATATATACACAAGCTTTATTTAAACACATTGGTTGAGGTTATGAATTCTACTAATACAGTTTGTTCTTTTTTTTAAACTACAAACACCAGGTCTTATTTCTGTTTAGTTTCAGAATATTTCTACAAAAGATTTCTCTTAATTCCAGTAAGTGTACTGCGTAAGTGTACTGCTCACATTCTACATAGAAGCTGCTATACTATGTGTAATTCACTGCAAGGCTGCTTAAAACTGTGCAATAGCAACTTTCTATTAATTTATAATGGCAGGTCAGCTATAATCAGCAAGGAGAATACATGTTTATTTGACTGAAACATGCCCAAATAGCTTTAAGAACTTTCTAAAAGTATCTAAGTATCTTGAAAGGAGTTGCTAAAGTCTGTTGAGTAACCATCACATCACAAAACAAAAGACATCAAAGGAATTAAACAATGTTTGCTAAGTGGGTTGATATAACAGATCAAAAGACTTAGCATGATTCAAACAATATCTAAGAACTCGAGTTTTTTCACAAGTGGTGGTTCACCCTAAACTTAATCCCTGTTTATAATTTAAAATAATAGTAAAGGTGTCCTACAAGTTGGAACTACAAAAGTCCTAGTGCCATCATGTATCCTATGCAACCCTCAAAGCAAAAAGTCACATCAATAAGTAAGCCAGAGGCAAATAAAAAACTTTTAAAATACTTTTTTAAAAATGGCAATGTAAAATGACAAGAATAACGATTTGCGAAGCTTTATTATGTATGTGTTACTTCATCTGACAGGAAAGCAGAGGAGGTGGAGGAGTGCTACATTATTTAAAGATGAAATAGGAGCTTCATGTTTCACTCACAGTCAAAACAAGCTGTAGCAAGCATTTATTAAAAATGCGCAATCATCCTGTCAATACATATTAAGGTCATAGGACTGAAACATGATTTAAAAAGCAGAACTTTTAAAGCTGTAGTATTCTTTATTTCAACTGATTCTATTTAAACAGTCAACACAATACATGATCAAAAATGTATGAACTAATAAAACAAGAGACTGCTAAGTATTTATTTCAAAAAGGCAGCAAATTTTCCTGAAAATATTTTAGCAGAAGGATTTAAGCCCATCTAGAGGTATATAATACACTGCTTTCATTTATGGCATGTTCAATAAATCAGTAAAGCAATAAGCGGCAGAGCAGTACAGGAGGAAGATATAGTAATTCATGGAATGCCCGAGTGCAATAAGAATAAATGATATTTGACTGATGCTTAAAAACACTTCCTCTACAGCAAGAAAGTGCAAGTATATTCTTCCAATTAAAGAACTAGATTTGCAAGTTCACTGAATGTAACTTGTATATACAAATATCCTCTGAATATTTAAAAGTTTTATATTTGTTTGCATCACTCCAAAATGGTGTGACTATAAACTTTCTAAAGTTTACATCTATTTGCATTCATAACTGGGCATTTACTTAAGTTTCCAGGGAAAACAGTTTCTTGGTTTCAAAAGTTACATGTTCTTTAAGGAAAAAAAAAAAGAAAAAAAAACCCACAACACACACACACACCAAAAAACCAAAACAAACAAAAAAAACAAACAAACAAACAAACAAAAACACCCAAACACACCAAGAAACTCCAAAGGGGAGAAAAATGAGACAATACTTATCTGCATACAATTAGATTAGGTCTCAACAATTTGAGAACCTTTGAGCATGCCTATTCCCCTGTTCCTTTCAAGTTTTATGCTATGAAATATTTTCTGATAACAGGCCTCATTTCTGTCTCACCTCCACACCAGTAAGGTTTTAATACTCAGCGTGTGATGAGAGATGAAACCAAGTGTGAACAACTTTCGGGTCCCATGAGTAGGCTGACTGTTGAAGCTGTCAGGTTCAATTGCATCATTCCATATTATTCAACGCCCCAAACTGCTCCCTAATTGTTAAGGGCTTAACATATTCAAAACCATTGTTTAGGCTAATGCTGAAATGCCTACAGTTGAGTTTCCATAAAGAAAGGGGAGGGATTTAATTGCAGTTAAACCATTACTGAACTCTCCTCCTGTCACCATAGGACAACAAGGACTGATGGAATAACCAATTCCAAGACAGCTTCTTAATCAGTTTATATCCAATCAACATCCCTTTTCCCCTCTGCTTTAAAAATAGGCATTGCTATATTGTAGCTTTGTGTTATATTATGATGATGCGCCACAACTAGTGAGAGATCATCTGCTTACCTACTTCAGCCAATATCTATTTTGTCAACAATAATTCCAAATGATTTTTTTTTCTTGTTTAAAATAGAAACATATCCTTGCTCCTGCACTGTCTATATCCCTTGAAGTATGAGCACCAGATTAATGTGGTTGGGGTCATACCATTCACCAATCATACCACGTTCTTCACCACAGCACGATGCTGTGACAGCACAAAACTACCCCTTGTTCCTATTAACACAAAGTAAAGAAACCAACAGCATTAGATATCACCAACAACTACTTATGGCCAATTACTACTGAAAACAGTATAGAAAAATTTTACGCAGACAAACTTTAAAGTTAAATTTTCTGTGAGCTGTTCTGCTATGCTTCTGAGAAGATGTTACTAATGCTTTCCATGCAAATGTCTAGCTTCACAAAATATGGATGGAAATTCAAGCACTAGACCAAATACTAACATCAGCTTACTTCATCTAGAAATCATCTTAAGTTTTGGACAAAGGCAAGCAGGTTATCTGAATAACGTACTATTAAAAATAACACCAAAATTAAAACTTGCCATTAAATGAGCTTAGATATTCAAATATATTATTGTTATGTATGTAACGATAATAAAAGTTGATAATATACATATATATAAATCAATTGCTTTTCTTGAGAAGTGAAAAGAGCTGCTACCAAGTGATAGCAGCAAAAGCAACATGGCCTTACGTTTCGTAGGTTAACTTGGACAAGT